CACCCACACACACCCACACGCACACCCACACCCCACACCCACACCCCACCAACACACACCCACACGCACACTCACATCCCACACCCACCCTTAGTCAGAGATCTATCCAGTGTATTTACCTGTATGTATCGTACACAGTCTCATTGATTTAATGATTCTTTCTTGTAGAATTTTGTCTACGATTTACATGATTAGCTTTCTGCGTTCGTGTCGTATTCTATTCATATTCTTTTCGCGATTGTCGATATTAAGATAAAAGTATCAAAATAATGTAAGTCGTAATTTCATAAGATAAGGAATAACGAGGATGCTTTCATGCGTCGCAAGTTTGCCCATGAAGAAGAATGAGTGAATCGTTAACAGCGAGAAACATTTGTGTAAGGATTTCAGTGTGGACGTGGCTGAAAAGAAAAGCCGTACCCATACCCACACCCACATCTACCCCACATCCTATTTACACCCACACCCACACCCACTAGAGCCCGTCGAGTCCACGAGTTTTGCACCCGAAACCCGACCCGGACCCGATTATTCAAAATTTTTTATACCCGGACCCGGACCCGGACCTGGACCCGGACCCGCTTGTTTAGAAAATGTCAGACCCGAACCCGATCCGGATCTGGTTGCTTAAATTTTTTAAACCCAAACACAATGATAAATCAGTTTATATAATATAGTTGACAAGTGTTTTGTTATTTTTTTATGTATTTTCTAAGTACATTCGATTTCTTCTTCTTCATAAAATGAACAAAACTTGAAAAAAATTCACAGTACATTTTATGCATCAAAGTTTTCTTCAGACCCGGATCCAGGCGGATCCGGGTCCTACCCAACGGGCTCTAACACCCACACCCGTCACACCCGCATCCACACTCACATCCTCAACCACGATCGCTTCATTTTTCGTTTCTTCTATCAAATTATCCAAGCCACATGTAAGTGCTAGAGGGTGTGTACGTGTGTGTATGCGATTTTGGAGTTGTACGTGAGCCAACATAAGAATGAGATTTTATGTAGAAGACTCTTCTCCATACTAGACATACTGACACCGACATCCGCATTTGTTATTAAACAAGTAACGGTGAACAAATTTTGAGTTCGTGCCAGAGTAGAAATTATTATACAGAAAAATGGTTGGTTTTTTTAATAACATTATTCATTTTGGTAGAGATAGGTAACAAAGAGCAAAGCAGAAAGAAAACGAACAAGCATGGGTGGTTAAAAAAATTTTCACAGTTGTGTTGATATCCTCACAGGAAGAAAAATCTTACAGGTGTGGATACTTATACATGTAAAGGTAAGGTCTTCTTCACAAGTTCTCACCCATACATCACCCTGAATCCTCATACTATCACGTACGTACTTTATTCTACCCTTCACTCACACTTCGAGGATCGATAAATTTCTAGAAAGAATAAAATGCAGATGGTCAACACACACTGGATTTTTTTTCTTTTTCATATTCGGTCGATTCTACGTCAAGCAAAGAGAGTTCCTTGTTATCTTGAGTAAATAAAACTTTTTCTTTTGTTCGTCTCTTTTTTCACTTTGTTGAAACTTTGCTTTTCTTTCGACAGATATCTGATTATACTCACACTCTTGTTAATATTCGTTATACCTTTACATAAGATAAGCATAAACAAAAAACAATTTTGATCACTTGTCATGACTGATATTAGACAATTCAATTACAGAGAACATTGGCAAGAACTCGAAATTACTCTTGAAAGAGTTTGTAACACTTTTTTTCATGTGTTTATTTGGATCTTTATTTTGCTCTGTTTTTTCAAAGCCAACAAGAGGTGATACAGTATTGGGATTTACCATTGCCGGCGGTATTGATAAACCTTTTCTTCATCATAATTTTACATCTATTATTGTTAAAAATATACATGAAAACAGTCTTGCACATAGAGATAAACGATTAAAGTAAGCAAGTTTACTTTCTGTCAACTTATTATTTTAATAAATAATCCAGCACTTTAGATTATATGACATAATATTGTATGTGAATAATATTGATTTTACGAATATTAAATATCAACAAGCTATTAATATACTGAGAAAAGCAGGACCGACAGTTAAATTGGTGAGATTTACAAGATGAATGTATAAAATATTTCATTAAAATTTCTTTTCTATCAATCTATTCAGCTGATACGTCGTCTGTCACCATCGAATAGTGAAGAGATCGACCTAGAGCATCATGGAAAATTAGGCATTTCTATTGCAGGTGGTATTGGACAGGAATGTTTTCAAGAGTAAATACTACTGACATCTTTATTTCTTCTCACCTAAAATCTTTTACTATTTCGCTATTGAAGTGATCATGGTATATTTATTATGGAAATAGGTCAGCATCAAACTAATAGACAATTAGAAATAGGTGATCGATTATTACGAATTTCATCAATGGTAAGATAAATGGTGTTCTATTTGTTTTATATGTTATATTGTCTTTCTAATTCTTCTTTTTACTAGTATAACACTTACGATTTACGATTTGTTACGCATGATATGGCAAAAAAAAATATCGAGTTAGCATGTAAAGAAAGCAAAAAGATTACATTATATGTTGGACATAAAAGGCCTATTATTGGAACGTAAGTTGAAATAGATTTATTCTACTTTGAAAACTAGGACGACGCAAAGCTTTCATCGTGTCTTTCTTTCAGACATAGTAAAAGAACTGTTTTAGATCAAGATCAACCGGATCCGCGCGCCTCGAAAGACGAAGGTAGTATGTGTGCTATTCACTTTATACATTTTCATTTTGACTTCTCATTCATTCCTTTTCTTTTAAAAAGGCATTGATGAAGTCAACAATACCAGTCGTGTACTTGTATCTGACAAAAATCACCACATCGAAACTGATGATCATGGTGCAGTTTACAACATAAAAAGAACTTCGCTGAACAAATCAGACTCGAATAAAAGTGATGAACAAGAGTTGATAATGTCTTCCGATTATGATGGTAAACGTACGATGAACAATTTTGAACAAATAGTTCCTATATAATGATTTAAGATTATCAGCGATATGAAAATCATGGCAATCGTCTGCAAAATCACTTGTTAAATCGTCGAGGTACTGAACATTCAGATGTATTACTCGTAGTAAAACAAGAACAACCACATGTTATCAAGTAAGTCTGTCATCGAGAAAAAGAAGTTCGCTCTAAAAATATTCTCTCTCTCCAATAACATTGCTTTACCATTTGGCTGGCTTGTTGTAGAGCAAAAGAATTATTTGGTGATTTCTTTTTAGATCTACAACAGCAACAGCGACGGAAGACTTGAAGCCTGATCATGAAGCAAATATTGACGCCAGACAGTTAAACAGCTTAGATGAACAGAGACCATCTAAAGTATGGTTTGTTTCGATTTTTGACTGAAAATAATTCTTATGAAAATTGATTTCTGCTATTGAAACCCTAGAATAACTAGAGAGTTGTTATGTAAGTGACTCAAAACAAGCAAATTTCAGTTTCATTTTTTATTATATATTTAATTATATCCATCTTATTTTTGAATTCACAGTTTGCACACTTGTTTTTAGCTACGCAACTCCCATCGGGTTACTTTTGCTGATCAGATATCTGCACAACAACTGACTCTTAACGCAGCAGTGATACGTAAGCCATCTTTAGTATTTATTTGGATGGGATGACGTTTTCTTTAGACTTTATCATGTTGATCTTCCTTATTGTGTTCCATGGTAGGTGGGGTAAGAGGTTCAGAGTTGCTCACTTCTGTTTCACTTTGTTGACTACTTTGAGTTTCATTGTCGTCATTCTCATTGGATTCGTTTTCTGTATTGTTGTCAGAATTTTGATTTTCGCTGTTCACATGAATGTTTGCGTTCATGTTGGTATTGACTCCTTGATGACCATGCGTTGGTGGTATTTTACTAGGAATATTGAACTTAATGATGTTGTTAATCTTGAGACTGATTTGCGTCGGTCGGTTGCTTTCTGAGTACATTTTGAAGAACTGATGAGAAAAAAAACAGATGTTATTAGAATTACAGATGAGATTTTTTATGTTCTCGGTTCTACTTACAACTGGTATTTTGAATGGAAGGTTCATAATTTTGAATGACTTTATTTGCTTCTTTTTGATTGTTCGCCGTTGAATGGAAAAGATAATTAAATGAATCTTGAAATTATTAATGAGACTAAGTTATTTAACATTTTTATTGATTTATTAAAATCAACTAGTGCACTAGTTGATTTTAATAAATCAATAAAAATGTTGAATAGCTTAGTCTCATTAATAATTTCATTATTCAATATGGTGCTATTAAATGATGTACATATTAAATGGATCTATAAAGTGAAAGGGTGAAGTTTATATATTAGGGAGAGAGACGTTGTATTGTTTTTTTTCAATTCAAAAATGAAAATATAAACAAGAAAATAGAAAGAGAAATCGAAAAATCATATTTTATTTTCATTTGGATGGTTAATCTATTAGCAGTATGAGAAGAACTAATGTATAGTTTTGTTTATTGGTTTTTGTTTGTTGAAGGTAATGGCATAGGTGGACGCTAAGATACTAATTCTTCTGCAGTATTGCAATTATTACGATTGCCAATAAGTTTGGTAGCCATAATCGATGTTTTATTGAATACCTCATTCCATACACGATGAACATCTTCCTTATAATTTGCAAGACTTTGTTCATATCTATAATGAAGAATAAGACATTTGTTCTATTTCTCTTCGTTTTGTAATTTATCTTGAATGATTTGATCTTTGACTTGTTCATTCTGATCTTTTTCAATAATGTTAGCAACTCCGATTAGTAATTGTTGTTCGACAAGGGTTTGTTGTGTCAGTTGTTCAGTTCGTATTGTAAAAAATTGATTTTCATTCTCGATCCATGGCATAATCGTGGAAGTTAACGAAGATGTATATTTCGTAAGAAACTCTTTGAATCAAGCATGGATGAATCTAGGTAGATAACTATATGTAAGAAGAAGAAGAAATTGTCATGTAAAATTAACCCATTATAAAGTAACATAAGTTGAATGGAACGTCTTTCTTGATGAAAAATATCTAATGTTGACGAATATCGCATTGCACGAAGAAGAGCTGTTTCAATAATATTTTTGAAAACATGTCGTGGATGATCGGATTTGAATGGTACTATATGAGGTTCGGGTGCCTCTTTGTGATATACTGATGTTGTAAGTGTACCATTCTTATTTTCTATGTACACATGAAGAAATGGAAGATTTGTGCCAATTTGACGAACTAATTTAATATTCGAATGGAAATTATTCGCTTCATCTAACATTTCGTTGATTATATCCAACGATTGATTTGAGATAAAGAAAATATCATCAATATATCTAGAAATGTGATAAATTATAATATTGCATGGAAACGACATTTTTATAGAAGAAAGAAACCTACCTGTCATAGATTTCATTCGATGCTTCTTGTCGATGAACAAGTTCTTTTTCCAATTTCCACATGAAAATATTAGCTAATCTTAAAATAAATGCTGATCCCATTGCACCTCCAATAATTTGTTTATAGAAATTTTTCTCATAGATGAATAGATTTTCTGTAATAACAAGATGAGCTGATTTCCGAATAGCATCACATGGAATACCTTTTACTTTTTGATAACCAGAATAATGAAGAAATTCCATAAGAACATTCAATGATTCTTCTTGTGGTAACATTGTATATAGATCTGTTATATCCAATGTACATAGACAAGTTGTTGGTTTACGATAACCATTGGCAGCATATGTTTCTAATCGACGAATTAAATCCACTCCATCAATAATCGTAGTTGAACGTACATGTTTATCAAATAATAATGGTCGAAGTAATTTGTCTAAAACTTTTGAAATTCCAGTTGTTGGCGTATTCATGGATGATACAATTAGTCTTAATAGTGTTCCTTCCTAGTTTTGAACAGACAAAAATCAATAGGGATATGATAGAAAACAAAAACGAATATCAAGTTTACTTTATGTGGTTTAGCAATAAAATATAAGAAAGCTAATTCAATATATATTTTCGTTTTGGCATTATTTTATCGAGTTGCCATGCTAGAATATGTTTTTTCGAGCAAAGATCATTGAGTAAATGAATAACTTTATCAAATACTGTCCATAATGGATTCGTTTCTAATTCCATAAAAGCTTGAGTTTTCTTTGGATAAGCTTCTGCTTTCTGTTAAACGGTTCAACCTTGAACTTGGTGAGATGTCGCGTATCACTGTTGATTGAATATTCAATCCTACGCGAAAGGACATGACTCCCGTATGCTCCAACCTTCTTATCACTGTTTAATGATTAGTATCGTTGAATTCGCAAACGTATCGTTAAAAAGTGAACTTTAAAAGGTATATTTACAGCCTATGTTTGTAGCTATTCTGACTCACCAAATAACATAACTCATGCTGACTAGAAGATAAATATAAACTGATATAAATATATGACAATCTTTTATAGCAACAAACATACTTTCGTTTTTTCAAAAGAATAAAAAATTCTGTCGTTGGCTTTGAGCTGTAGTATCGATAGAGTTGAAAATATTGTCTGAACCCAGTATTGTAAAGTTAACATTTTATGATCCCTTTGTGGTGAAAAACATGAATTCTGTAATAATATCAAGTTGCAGCTGAAACAAACTTGAATTCTTTATTTTGTTCTAGATATTATTGGCACTTTTATTGTGAAACGGGAAACCATGTATCGCGACCAAAGACCTAAGCAAAAAACTGTTATTTATTTATAGAGTACTAATGAATATAAATTACAGGATACTACGAAAAAGTATAGCCAAAATATTTTTTGAATTTTTTAAAAATAGTGTTTGTATTAAAGAAGCTGGATGTTCAGGTCCGTCGAAGGAGCGCTCAGATCTTGAAATAGGGGAAATTAAACATTTAGAGAGAGGTTTTTATCGAAAGAGGGAATGCTCAAGCACCCAATTCATCCCCTGTTCTCCCGCTTGCTGCTTCCTCGATTCTAACTTCCCTTGTTCACAGAATGAGGACGAAACAATGATTTTTAAAAGTAAAACATGGTGTTCTCAGCTTAGAACTCTGTTTTAGAGTGTAAAGATTGCAACAGCAATCATGAAGCTAAAATGTACATAGTGTTTTGCGTCGTCATTTCGTTTTAAGTCGTCTTTATTTACTAAAGAATATCATTCGACGTCATTGGGAAAATTTTCAATGCAACGCTCAAGAAATCTATCTTTCTAGTGTAGTGACACTAATCGTATGATAAACCAATGTTAGTCAACATTTTTAGCACAGAAGTGCTCTTAAAGCAGCCTTAAAATATAACTGAACTTATCGAACGTCAGCTATAAATAGCTAGAGCGAATCAAAGAAAATTGTTCTTTATTGGGGTATTGAGGTAGTGCAGCAAGCAGTTGCGGAATTCAAAAATATTTTTCCTTGATCTGAAATTGTCGTCTATCCAACCAAAACGCTTCCAGTAGATTACGGCTACGATTGGATAGCAGGATTGAATTTTGATAAATTTTCAATAATGTTAGCAATCGAAAGCACAAAATCTATTCATAAAAGGATAAATTATTAATTTAAAATATATTTTATATACATTTTAATTCCTATTTTGGTAGAAGATGCAATAGTAAACCAAAATAATCATGACAGGTGCTTTTAAATTAAGTTACGGGTGAAATATAAACAGATGTGACTTAATAACCATAAAATAATAATAAACTTCATCCGTTTTAGCCTTAGAAGACATTGGTCCAGTGCAGAGCCAAGACCAGGCACATGAATTATTAAATGATCCTAAGTTTGGAAGAGCTGAGCGAGGCTGGATTCGCCAGGAAATCAATGCTGTTGAAAGTGGTAAAAGATGTACCATCCGTCGCCCACCTGGAATTGAATTAGCCCATGCACGTGGGTTTGAAGCAGAAAAAGGTTTCAGTTTTATGCATTCCAAATTGCAACTGTCCAGCTTGCACAAGTTACAGGATAAATATGGTCAAAGAGGCAGACTGAACAAGACTCCTCTATGGGTGGAGGAATTCACAAGAGAAAATTCCATTGATAAAAATACGAAGGAAAGCCAGCATCAAATTCGAGAACATCATCAGCAAATGATAAATCGCAGATGGACTAGCAGTTCCTTTCGTTTAGAACAGGAAAAGCATTCACGACACTTTCAAAACGATCGTGGCATTAAATACAGTCAGTACATACATTATCTTAAGCCAGGCAGCATAGAACTATGCCGTCCGTTGCAGTTGTCATCCGATTTTTGGCTCATTAGTCAAACGGTTGTTAAATCTGTCAACATAGAGCCTAGTACACGCAGCGTTCTCGTTCAGACATCAAAAGGCGCTTATAGATACACCCCCGCTGATCTTACGGTGCAGGAGCTCTTATGTCTTGAAGCGGCTGTGAATAAAACAACCAAAAACGGAATCATATTTTTACTCGACAGAGAATATCATGTCTTAGATGGAGTTGTTTCCACAATGGAGGGAGCAAAACAGATTGAAACGACGCTGACAGAGGCCGATTACTTACTGTGCGATCTCGCATATGGCATTGACTACGCAACTGGTACCAAAACAGCCTCTATCTCGACCTATGAAAATCCACTAGATGTGCGCTGCAGAATGTTGATTGCTGCACATCGAGAAAACGACTCGATCAGCAATCGAGCTTACAGCATATACTCTAAATTTCGAACAGTTACACCATATCCTACATTTCAAATGAACTCTTCGGTCAAAGCACGCTTAAATAGCACAGGGGCAAAAATTACAGTTGATGGACCTTTGTTGCAGATAGGAATGCGTGGTATCTACTCCGATTGGTTCGGAAATATCTATTATGATGAGAAATCTGAATGCTGTTTGGAACAAGGACCATTTCTGCAGGATTTTGCCACACACTACACGGATTACATTCGCCACTACCCAGTATTGGCCCGCCTGGAACAATATGCAATCGTAATTGGTTTGCTATTGTCGTATTCCAGCAATCCGACCTTGAATCGCATTGAGACATACCGACGTTACAGAGCAAATTATACGCCAAAATTAGAGATAAATGCAAAATTCATCACAGCCAGACGTGCAGCCACCGAAGCCAAACATGAAGCCGCTGCAGCCCAAGAAGCACTTATTGAATTCGAACCAGATGTATTGATTCGTCTTTACATGGCATTTTATGCAGCACAGACTTGGTTTGAGCTGAAAGATTTTTTACGCGCCAAAGATGCTGCACTACTTATGTTGCTGTACGCAGAAAATTTTTCCGAAAATATACCGGAAACTCTGATTAATCAGCTTTGTTCTGAGGCGCTCTTGCTAATTGCTACAGTTCCTAGCAATGAAATGACTGCGACTAATATAACTACTGAGGAAGTCTCTGAACTTCAAAAATTACTTTTGTCTGAAGAAAATGCATCGCCCGAGGCTATTAAGCCAGAACATTTGACCAATATACGCAGATGTTTCAATAAAGCACTCGATGCTTCACTGCAGTTAGCTATAAAAGTCGAAGACTGGGCGACTGCTCATCAAGTGGCGCGATTTTCCGCCACAAATTGGTTGGAAGAACATGACTCTGCTGCTGAAGAAACCAAAATTGCTGAAGCGTGGAATGCGTGGAAGAATTCGACTGGTTTGAAATTGAATCGCAGTTCAAACCTATCGACCATCATGCGATGTTTATGGCCATCTCCACATTCAACCATAGACGCATTATCTGAGGTTGAGTGTTCAGATCCTTCAATTCTGACGAAATTTTTATGGTGCCTGGATGCCCAAGTGCTTGTCGATCCTGAAGTGATAAATCAGTTCAGCGGCTTTGTATACTTTGTGGACGCTGGAATACAATTGAAAGAAACAGCACGTGATGAAAGGGAACAATATTATGCTGCACTAGCATCTTGTTTGTGCGCCCTACGTTGTTTCTGCGGCTGCTTTGACCTCAAATCGGCTGCCGGCATCAATTGGAAGCAAGTTGCAGCCGCCAGCGCAATGCGTCTTGCGAAAGTTTGTGAAGTTTTGTATTGGGATGCTGAACAAAAGGAACTAAACCAGGGCATTTATGAAGCCATAAAAGAACTGGAATTATTGCAAAAAAATGCTTCGCAAGCTAATGTTGACAAGATTCTTTTGCCTTTTCATAAACTTCGTGAAGAGATAAAGCATGGGTGGATGAGGAAGAGCGATAGTTTGGTCGCCGTAGACCAATTAATTATCGAGACATACAAGACAATTGGTGACAAGGAAAACATTGTACTATGGCAGCGAACTTTGGAAACTGATAGTATTGAATATTCAATCGGAGAAAATTGAAGTAAGACTAAAGAATAGAAATTAACCTCCGAAATTCATTTGCAATTTCGACAATTCTGAATAATTATTGAATTCAAGAATGCTGAATTTTGATAATGCTGAATAATTATTCAATTTTGAATTTTTGATTGCGAAAACAAAAACTTTTCATTCTCTACAACTTTCTATTTTGATTGAATTTCAATGAAACTTAAAAAGGGTGGGTGTGGGGTGTGAGTGTGGGTGTGGGTGGGTGTGGGGGTGGGTGTGGGGGGTGGGTGTGG